ATAGCAACTATGCCCCCTGTACTGGATAGTTGAACCTATTCTAAGTTTATATGAGAAGTTAGTCTGGAACGGTGCAAGGTTGATTTTGATTTGGTTTTATTATTAAATAGGAATTTTTGTACTCTCTATCTTGTATCTTGTAATTTGTAATTTTATAAAAATTTACTTTACTTTTGAATAAAGATTGTGCAAAGCTATCGCATGTTAAAAAAATAAAATAAAAAATAACAATATAAATGTATATTATAAAATTATTATACTTTATAAAAAAAATATATCAAATAAAAGTATTTAAAAGTTATTACTTTGTTTTATTATAATTAATATTTTTGAATAAATTTTATTTTATTGTAATTTTAAGATTATATAAAACAATAATTTATATAGCATTACTAATAATAGTTAGAAGTTTTATTTGCATAATTTCATAGAATTTTGATGTCAGATATTAACTTTGCTTATTGCTATTATAAAAATAATTAGCGTAAAGCTTATATTAAAAAATTTTTTGATCACTTTATTTTATATATATATTTCTGGATTCTTATTAGACTCTCTAATATCTTAATTAGAGGCCTGCAACAGGCTGGATCTGATGCAGAAATTCAGCCTGAACCTGAGTTCTGGATTAAGTCTAGGCTAGCAAAAATTAGTCTATAATTTTTTGGACTAGGTCTAGGTTCAAGATACCAACCCAAATTTTTTTATAATTTTGGTAAAAATCATTATTTAGTTAAATTTAGTTGCCACTGATTGCATAAATTATTATTGTTATGAATCATTTTTAAATTTTATCGTTATGCAATATTAAAAATTTTTTTAAAAATAAATATTTTGAAAATTTTTCTTTAGTAATAAATATACTTAAAAAATGTAAATCATTAGTTACATATTTTAAACATTCTTTCTTAAATTCAAGATTAGAAAAAATTCTTAAACAAGAAGTAGAAACTCGTTGAAATAGTAAATTAGAAATATTAGAATCAATTTATGATCAATTTGAAGCAATTATAGAACTTCTTACAGAAAGAGATAAACTTGAACAAATCTAAAGCATTGATATAAATATTATACAAATTTTAATTAATTTTTTAAAAAAATTTTGTGAGGCAAGCAATTATTTAAAAGGTTTTAAATATCTGATTTTGCATATTGTAATACTATGATATAAAATTCTTATAGATCATTATGAAGTAAATATATCAGATGATGACATATTAGTTCAAATTAAATCTATTATTAAACAAATTATAATAACTAAATTGAAATTGAAAATATTCATAAAATTGCAGTTTTTTTTGATTTAAGAATAAAGCAACTTAAAATTTTAGAACAATCTGATGTTTTATAGGTTAAAAATTAAATTAAAAATCAATATATTAAATTATCTCAAATACAAATGATTCTAATAATTCTATAAATATAATTCAAAAAAGATTACTAAAAATCACGTAAAAAATTAAATGAGAAAACAGATTTTAATTAATATTAAGATTCAAGTAATAATGAGAATGAAGAAGATGAAATTGATCAATATTTAAAATCAAAGTTATCAAAAAACAAAAATTTAGATATTTTACAATAGTAAAAGGATCACAGACATGAATATCCTGCTTTAGCAATTTATGTGTTTATTATCTTGCAATTTCAGCCTCAAGTACTTCAAGTAAGAGAGAATTTAATGTTACCGATTAAATAATTAATGAACATTGCACTAATTTAAATTCTGAAATAGTAGATAGCATTTTGGTATTACATAGTACTTTTTAGTAATTTTTTTTGTTTATATATATTATTATAATAAAATTTATTAAAAAATTATAAAAAATATATATATTATTATTTTTTGTTATTTATTAAATAAAATAAAATAATTAAATTGCATTGCCAATAAGTATAATTAAGTTCAGGTCAGACTGGGCTGGCATTTTAAATACAAATATAAGCCTAGGTTAGGCTAGACTAAAATTTTAATTCTTAATTTAAAGTCTAGGCTAGGTTAGACTTCAAAATTTGGATTAATATAGGTTTCTAATCTCAATGATTATCTTAGCAAATATATGAAATTTTATCTATTTCTACTTTATAACAGTAAGGAATTTTTTTGACAAACATATAAAAATATTTTAATATGTATTAGTATAGCAAAAACTGAATATCTGTTTTTATTGAAAAAGCAGAAAAATAAATTTCAGATATAAATAACCTAACAAAATAAAAAACTTCTTTATCAATTCTTTCTAAAAATATGAGACAAATTCTTAATTTATATAAAAATGATAATTCTTTTATTAGATTTTCTGATTATATAAATCAATAAGTTATATTCTGTAAGAATTGATAGATTAGAAACTATAGTTGATAAAATTGCAGATACTGTAGATAGTGTTGCAGATTCTATAGGTTAAATAACTAATCAATTAGAAGAATTATATTTAATGATCAATTATGAAAGCCTTTTTATTATAATAATTATAATTAAAAAGAGTATAAGAAAAGTAATTATTCTAGCTTAGTTTTTGTATCTTCAGAAAATTCTGTAATAAAATCAAATTTTACTTAGCATTATTTTCTTCAACTTATATACCTTTTAATTCAGATGATAATAATAATGAGAAAAATGTAAGCTATAATAAAGAATAAAATATGTAATATCAGCTATAGTAGATAAAAAAATAGAAACTAGTGAATGATAGGTTATCTGATAACTTTATTACTCTTTCAGCAATTAGTCAATTAAAAATATATAATAAATTATTATCAAAACTTTTACTAGTGATGCAAAAGATATATCAGTTTTATAAAGTTCAAGAAAAAAAAAATAAATTGAAAATAAATAAGTAATTTTATCTTTACAATATCTGAATGTTAAAATAAATGATTTAACAATTTGTAATTCTTTTTTAGATAGCAAAAGTAAATTCAAATAAGTAAATGATATAATAATTAATGCCTTCAGAAAGAAAGTTAATAAATCATCTGATTTTATTATAAAAAGTAATTTTAGATACATCACTAAATCATTAGGATAGTTTACAGATATACTAGTCAATATAAAAGATAAGGATAGTAAAATAATTATAGCTATTAGAAATTTTACTCATATTGATAATAGTAAACCTGATCTAATATTATATTTAGATATAATGTGAATTCAAAAAGTTCAAGGTATTCTTAATAAAACTAATTTTAAATAAAATTACATAGAAAGGCTTACATTATTTCAACTTTTAACAAGACTCTATAAGTTAAAGATCTGCTTAAAGAAAAGTAAGATTTATCATCTAAAGTATTTGTTAACTCTTTTAATCTGATTAATGAGAAGAATTAAAAAATATGAAGAGCTTAAAAAATGCCTCTTAAAAATTGAGAAATAGCTTGACTTAATATTAATTTATAGAAATGAGAATAAATGTGTAGTTATTTCTCTAATCATATTTAATAATTTCTCAAAATTGAATTTCTTTCTAAATATATCATCTTTAAAAGAATTAACCATCCTATTTTTATTTTTTCTATTAAAGATATTGAAGATGGTAATTCACCTTTTGGCTTATAATACTCTTTTTTTTAACTAATTTTATCTTTTTATTTATAAGTAACTATATTTAAACTATTAGTATTTATATAAAATTTATATTATTTTATTATTTGCAGAATTATAAATAATTTTATCTTTTTATATATTAATAGAGAAAAAAGTATTATTGTCTTTAGTTGTGAAGATTTTTGATTATTCTAATCAGAAATGTTAATAGATTCTATATCTTAAAATATAGGTATAAATTGGCTATAAAATATTGTAGAAAAATTATAATATTTTAATATCTAGTGATTATAAAAAATTAAAATAAAATTTATTAAATTTTTCATATTAAGATCTATCTAATAATAGTATTTTTAAATTTTTAAAATTACTAATTATTAATATATATTAATCTTTTAATTTTTCAATTTTTTAAAATAATTTATTATCTAATAATTATAAGAAAAAAATAAAAAATAAACTCTTTTCAGCGATCACTCAATCAAGAATTTTACGTAAAAAATGTGTATGTTTAAAGGTAGTCATAGCTTAATCTATAAATAAAAAATATAACTTTCTTTTTAAACTTCTTCCTTTTTTTATTCTTCCTAAACCCTCTTATTCTAAAAAAACAGTTTTATTAGTCTAAATGATAGTGTTTTTTGTTAAAATATTTTTTATTACCACTTCTTATAGCTATTTTTTCTACTTTTTCTGCTTTTTTTTTACTCACAAAAATAAATATTAGGGGGTATCTGAAATGACAATCAGGATTGATAATAACTTTGAATTAGCTAATCGCACATAATGATTTTTCTATTACTTTCCTAAATAAATACACTCTTTTTAGATCTCTGACATTATAAAACCTGCTGATCTTAGCAGAATTTTCTGGTTTTCACAACTGCATAATTTAGGCTTTATGCAAGGAAGTTTGAGAATACTGAAAAGTCTCTGACAGAACTTAATGATTATAAGCACTTCTATTAGAGATTGCTATAATTAGAAATTAACTAGACAATTTTAGCTATAAACTTATTCAAGTTAATTTTTTTATTAGCTTTTTTTTTAATTTAATAATAGTTCAAGTTACTTGTTTTTGTATTGAAATTAAATTTAGGATAGGAATTATTATTAGGTAAAAGAGAGAGGTGTAGTAATATCTAGTCATTGTGTATTGATAGAGACTTTATTAATAATTATTTCTAGAATATAATAGAATAACCGATTAGTTTAAAACTAATAAGTTTTAATTTACAAAGACATTTTAGGTAGTTCTTTTTATTTTTCTACTATAAGTACCTGTTTTAGAATTTCTATATATTAACCTACTAGATTTATAATTTCATAATAAAATTGAAATTACCATGCCTGGTAAAAATCAAACAATACAAACTAATTAGTATTATACATATCTTTTCATCATTGATTCTGATTTATTCGTGATCTTCATTTTGTGATACTCATTTTCATAATGCTAATTTCCAAGATACTCATTTCTGAGACATTCATTTCTGAGATAAATTTTCTCAGGATAAGGCTAATTTCATTTTAGTCTTAATATATGAAAAATATTTATGTAGGAAGAAAAGGGCGAGAAATCTTCTTTATAATTTAACAGTATAACTAGCGAATTACTAGCAAGTTGTTTAGAAATTCATGCAGATGATATAGAGATTTTTCAACTTAAAGCACTTTCATTAAATTTCCTAAGAAACACTTCTGAAATAACTGATAAACATACCTCGAAACTTAATCCTTGTCACCTTTGTGATAAAAAATTTTTACTTTATCACTTCATTCATTCACAGCATTATTATGTGAATATATATACCATCAAATATGTTTTAAAAACCATATTTTATGATCAGAAATATATTTTCCTTTATATCCTATTTCTAGTTGTATATTATCTATCAAACTTATTAGGAAAGAACTTGTACTAGCTTCTGGTGAGTATCACATAGTATCTAAGAATAAGAATTTCAGAAAAAAAGACCTCTTAAGTGATGATACTATAGAAGACGAAGATTCTCTTGCAAGTCAGAGTGAAAAGAAAACTGAAGTTACTACGCATGATCAAGCGACAAGTCTAATTGCGTATGTGAAAGAAATATCAGAGCTATCAAATATCATCAATGATGCTGAAAATAATGCTGATAGGAATAACAATCAAGTTCTCAAATAAGGTAGGTAATGCAGTGAAAATGGAATATATAGTAATCACACTTACTTTTCATTCTGTTTATTTCCTGAAATCTATAATTGAAGGATGGATAATTTGACTAATCAAACAACTGAAGATGACATTGTTAATACACAAATCTGATCATCAAGAGAAACATCTCCAAGAACCAATTGTGAATAGAAAAGATTTTGAGGATTATTACACAAATTATCTATATCTATTAAGGGGGAGACTACTGAAACTAATGATGAGGATGAGGGTTTTGAGGGTTCAATCTCGCAGAATTTAGCTCGATTATTTCAAAAAGCAATTAAGGCTAAAAAGCGTGTAACTTAAGCTTATCAAGAGGAAATTTACTGTTGGTACTACTATGCTGAACAGTTTGAAAAAAGTGTTAAGGATGTTAAAGATAATGATAAGAGGGTTAAAAATCAACAGGTTAGAATTCAGGTATATAATGCAATTTTAAAACATCTTTCAAATATTATAAGAGAAAATTTATGTAAGAAGACACAGAAGGCAAGAAATATTTTCGAATTATTCAGTAAAATAGGGATTAAAAAAGTCAAGGGGGTTCAATTCTATAATGCAAATAATTTTTCAAAGCTTACAGGTACTCAAATCAAAAATATTATAGCTCATTTTGCTTGAGAATCATAAATTCTTTGCAGATCACGTGAATTATGGTTCACATCACGTGACCACTACATCATATATCAAAATGTTTTTTAAGTCTATCTTTGCTATTTCTTATGATTAATAAATAAAGTTTGTTTACAAGTCATTTTAACTAAATGTATGCTGTATATGGGTAATATGACGTTACTTTATTGCAAGACTCATCAGAAAGATTTTATCATATAATTAGCTAGTAGAGCCTACTTCTATTGGTTGGAAGTGAGAAAAGTCTTTATGATTATTATATGATACAGCATGTATTGGTAGATCGACGAGTCTGCCTTCAAAAAAAAATAATGTTTACAAAAATTGCAATGATTTGATTCATGTTGAAGTCTTATGAAAGACTGTTTTGATTCTTCTATAGAATTAAGCGCTGAGATAAAAATCTTAGAGTTCCAATATGTAGGTAAGGAACATTATAGTAGTTGCTTTTTTTTCCTATGATTTTACGTGTAATTTGATAGTATTTACTTTATAGATTATACGATTAAATTTTATATGATGGATCTTGTCCAGAGAATATATATTATGATTAATATAGGAAAAGTGACAATTTCTACTTCTTTGAGAGAGGTATCAAATTTTATTGATGACTTAGAAATTCTTCTAAAAATACGAAAGGTTTTTCAAGAATCATTTAACATTTTCTTTAATAAACTTTGTAATCTGAGTTCCTCATCAACAAAATAAAATTCAAACGTGATACTCTTGCTACTCCTATGTTTAAAAAACTTGTGAATAAAATACACAATTGTCACAGAAGTTATCCATTTTGGTTTGGACACTTCTAGTATAATTTGTAAGAAATAATTAAATTTAATAATACAGCAGGTGCTAAATTTTATCAATGTTAACTTTGAGATCTTATACAAATTGTACTAATTTATAATTATAAAGTTTTTTACCATTTTTTTAAAGCACTGTTAACAGAGCAATTAACTAGTCATAATGAAGTCACGTAGATGATGCAGTATAACAATCTCTTAATTCAGAATTCTGAAAATACTGAGAATTTTGTAAATTCTGGAAATACGGAGGATCTATGTAATTCTAAAGATCTTCTAAATACTGATAATAATCATAATTTTACGAATTAAACGAAGTCTAAGAATATTTAGTGTTATACGTATTTTTAATATT